GATCCAGTTAAAAATAAATCCTCAAGAACTAGTGGGAGGTTCAGCTACAGGTCAGTGAAAAAGTCAATCAGCAAACAGCAGAATGAGTGGGCATGAGAGCAGGAGGCTCAGGAACAGTCAGAGGGAGACCAAGGCTCTGGTTCCTACCAAGCCTTTTCCTGTCTGGGCATTGCCTTAGCAACCCTGGGGCTTTATACACCCTCTCCATCAATGTTCAGCCCCATACATAGTGCCTCACAGTGGACATTCCATGTGATGCCCACATTCTTCCAATGCCCTCTTCCCCACCTGAGCCCCACATGTGCCATTACAAAGACAGGTCCTCTCTAGAACCTTCAGAGACCTTCTGATTTCTGGTCCTCCCCAACCAGCTCCCTGTCCCTGCTTCTGGGCCGCTCCTTCCTTCCTGAGGTCCAAAGTTTCCTCATGGTCAGTCTTGGCTGCAAAACATAAAAAACAAATGATGGCAGATGGCAGGAAGAACTTCATGCACAATCAGAGTGGGAGGCTCCGCAGCCGCCTCTCAGCAATTCATATACTAAGCAGCAAAACATCAGTAGGATGTAGAAGGTACACATAGTAAACCACCTCCATCACATTCATGTAGTCATCTGTCCGTCATCCTTGTATTTTGGGAATAAATGCCGAGATACATTCACTTTGAGCACACGTAGTACATTTACAAAAATTAACCTGATTTATTTTGTTCATCAAGCAAATCTCAATATATTTCAGAGGAATCAAATCACATAACATGTTTCTGATCATATAATTGGGCTAGAAGTCAATGATAAAAACCTAACCAAAAATTCTTATATGCTTGGAAATTCAAAGTGCCCTTATAAGTGAGATATAAACATAAGAAAGAATCCAAAATGAAACAAGACTGCCTTTGCACTCTATGATAGAATCATAATATGGCAATAAAATGTCTCCCTTTGGCCTGGGATTCCACTTTGTGGCATAAAGCTGTGCGGTCCCAAAGCATTCCTAACCCACCCCTAGACATTTTAACATCTGAAATGGGATGATGATGTCACTTATCTATGTCATCTTACTGCCTGTGAGCATGGGGTCTAAATTTTGAACCCTAAAGAGGGAAGGAAAACCAAGTTGACTCTCATGATTGACTTCCCATGTATGTCCAAGGAATCTGTGCATTTCAAGAGACAAAGTTCATCAGCTTCTCTCCTGGCAGATTTGGCCACAATACCCTAGGCAGCACCAGGAGTAATGAGTGGGGAGTGCCAAGAAGTTGGGCAGGACCCAGGGGCCCAACAACCAGGACAGACCCCCACTGGCCATCACCTTTCCAGGTCCTGTCTTCAGCTAAACTTCTCAAAGACCTTCTTCTGCCTGTATGCCCAAACTCACCCAGGCTTCTGGCAATTTAAAAACCACTTCTTTAAATCCCTTTACCATTTATTATTACCTTAAGTTATTGGAAACAGGAAATATTTAATTGATGCCACAAAGAGAAAGCCAATGCCTTTACAATAGAAAGAAATCCTAAAAAACAAACATGACCAAAAAAAAGAGATAACAAAACAATTAAATTATATTTGTATCCTGTCTCCTGCATAAAGACCCCCAGTTTGGGCTGTCTTGGTTGTAAATGGAGAGACCAAGAGGGGGTTGTAAAAGGAGAGACCAGATTAGCCCTAAAGTGAATGGCAGAGATTACCATGATGTCCAAGACAGGTTGCAGGGGTCACCTTGATTACAGCCCACGCAGAGACAGGGAAAGGAAGACAATGTGAGCAGGATTTGGGGCGTCAAACAGGGTAGGTTATTTATGCAGTCCAGGAAAGGCTCCCCAAGCCAGTGTGAACCTCCCTTGCAGGCAGGTCCCTCATGGAGGCAGGGCCAGGCACCTTGGATTTGAGACCAGCTGTGCTGCTGACCAGCTGTGTGACCCTGGGCTTGTTTCCTTTCATACAATGAGAATGCCAAAGGCTGCATGAAAAGACTATATGAGGATAGGAGGAAGCAATCTGTTGAGCACCTGTGTACCTGGGTGTCATCACCTTCCAAAAGCATCTTTCCTTCCAGAGTTGGCACCCTGGAAAGTGCTCAGCCACTAGAGGCAGTCATAATGATAACAGCAGTAAATCATCATTTACGGTTGATGAGGGAGGTCCAGGGACTCCTAGGTCCTGGATAGGAATGAAAGTCTGGGCACTCCTGGGGACAGCTGAGTGAATCCTGTACAACCCTTGGGTCCCCAGGAGGCAGGTCCCTCTTCAGTGGAATTAGACCTAAACTAAGATGCTGAGGCAGCCACTGGAGCTTCAGCAGTACAGGCAGGCACAGAGGCAATAGATTCATTGGAGGTGGCAGGTGTGGGATGGTCTGATGAGCAAACAGAGTCACCAAGCCTGGCTGACCACTGCCACCCACAAAAGATGCCCTGTCCCTTGTATCACATTTCAGCAGGGCAAAGGCTGGCATCTGGGGCCTCACAGAGCATCCCTCTGAGACCTCTGTGTCCTGGTCATTAAATGGGCACTTGAGTCACCCAGAGACAACAGAACAAGGAGGAAGAATCAGGCCCCAGGATGTTTTACAAAAGCGTTTAACACAAAAAAATGCAGAGAATACATGTAAGATACAGGTGCACTGTTAGTGTACGAGCCAATATTTAATGACCTCCAGCCCTAATCTGAGCACTCACATCTGTGCAATCTGAAAGAACAGGGGACTTGCAGGAAAGATAGTTCCTGGATTTAACTTAAATGAACTAAAATGTTGGAATTTTCACACTCCTGATATCCTTCCAAATCAACTCTTTGAATGCTCCCATCCTCACCACTATCATATGGGGTAAATGAGGCAGCATATAGGGTCACTGAGGCAGTCAGGGATTTACTGACTCAATGTCACTCAGTCAATTCTGAGTTCACTGCTGATTACATCTGACCAATCTCCATTTTTTGAAGTTTGCCTCTTTTAATCTTGCCAGTAATGGTTTTTGGCAGCTCTGGGACAAACTCCACCTGGCTGAAGATAAAGCAAATCTACAGTGCCTTAGTCCTGCTGTCATTTCCTACCAATTCCCCACTCTCCTCCTCTGCCCCTCCACAGTCTCCTACACAGGCTGACACCATATCATGGCCTTAATGGAGTCCACCAAGTATTTCAGGTTCTCTGCGTGAGCCCTTGAAGGTGGGTAGAGCCATGCAATTTGCTCTGACCCAAAATGAATGCAAGCGAAGCATGTCACCTTGAGGCAGAAGAGTTGGGAGCCACTGAGACTGGCCACCCTCTCCTCCATCTCTTAGAGCAGCTGACAGGTTCCATATGAAGGCTGCTCCTTCATCCTGGTGGCAGAATGAGAAGATGTAGAGCCCAGGGCCCAGAAGAGCCATTGTGGACATGCAGTATGGGAAGTTAAAGAACCTTCATTGTTGTCAACCTCCACTGTTTAAGGCTGTTTGTGACCCACAGTGATATCTAGCCCATCTTAACAGGCATGCACCATCTATCCCACACTCTATTAAGCAGGCTAGCCTAACATCAGAACTTGAATTGGTTGTCAGACACACATAGGTTTCAGTTACAGTTCTTCCTCTTATTAACTGCAATCTCAGGCATTTAACTGTTAGCCTCTGAGCCTGTTTTATCTCTGTAACATGGGTTAGCTATCTCAGGTTGTGGAGAGGATTAAATGAAATAAAAATGCACATACAGCATTGAGCCCAGGGTCTGGCACACACAGTGAGCACTCAATCGTGTTAACCATGTAGCTTCATAATGTGTATTGACTGTCAATATTCAGACAATGCAACAAAGTATTACAAAAAAGGAAATATTTTATTTTTTATTATACTTTAAGTTCTGGGGTACATGTGCAGATTCTGCAGGTTTGTTACATAGGTATGCACGTACCTTGGTGCTGCATCCATCCCCCTGTCATCTACATTAGGTATTTCTCCTAAGGTTATCCCTCCACAATCCCCTCACCCCCAACAGGCCCCAGTGTGTGATGTTCCCCTCCCTGTGTCCATGTGTTCTCATTGTTCAACACCCACTTATGAGTGAGAACATACAGTGTTTGGTTTTCTGTTCTTGTGTCAGTTTGCTGAGAATGATGGTTTCCAGCTTCATCCATGTCCCTGCAAAGGACATGAACTCATCCAAAAAGGACATGTTAACTATTTTTCATATGTATTCTTCCAAGCTTTATTTTCAAACAGATAGGATGAAACTATGCATGTTTCATAGCCAGTGTTTTAATAGTATATTGTTAAAATATTTTTATCTCAAAAATAAAAGACTGTTTTTCAGATTACCATTTTAAATTACAAGTAATGTTGCCAGGTATGGTGGCTCATGCCTGTAATCCCAGCACTTTGGGAGGCCTAGGCAGGTGGATCACGAGGTCAGGAGATCAAGACCATCCTGGCCAACATGGTGAAAGCCCCTCTCTACTAAAAACATAAAAATTAGCCAGGTGTGGTGGTGGGCACCTGTAGTCACAGCTACTCAGGAGGCCGAGGCAGGAGAATCACTTGAACCCGGGAGATGGAGGTTGCAGTGAGCCGAGATCACGCCACTGCACTCCAGCCTGGGTGACAGAGCAAGACTCCATCTCAAAAAATAATAATAAAATAAATTACAAGTAATGTTCAATTTAATGAATAATCCAGTTATTAATATTGAAATTCTTGTAGACTGCACACAGCATTTAAAATCAATGACAGAGAATTAAAGGCAAGAATTATTATACTTTATAAAATAAACGTATTAATTCTAGCATTCATACATGTAACACATATATATGCAATATGGAATGTATTTTTCATTGTGAGTAATGTTAAAAAAATAGTTTAGAAGCTGTTGATTTGGTTTTCCTTTTCAAATTTTGCAGGATTATAAGTAACCTTTTTAAGTATCATTGAGCATTTGCGTGGCTATTTTTCTTTAGGTTAACATTTCAGAAATGATTCCTTTTGGGTTTCTGACACAGATAGTGGTTTTCATCCAAATAAGTCAACTACTTCACCCCATCCCTAATCCACTCAGACGGAAGGGAAAAAAAAGGGAAAGGCCAGTATTGTGACTGCCTAAGCTTCCCCCAGCATGGCCACCCTATAGACGTAGGGCAGCCAAGAGCCAGAAACTGCACAAGGGCACCAGGCCCCATCTGTCTGTGCTCACTCACCTTCCTCAGGTAGTTGCATGGGGTTGTCACTGACTTTATGTGCTGCTGTAGCTCCTTGGCAAGCTGGCCCTGGTCATGGGATGGGAACTGTGGGGTCAGTAGAGGGCTTCACCACCTGCAGAATGGGAACAGAGGTGCATAATGAGTGCCATTCCAAGAAAATGTTTGTTGAATGAGTGGAAAAACAAGGTGATGTTTAAGTCTACAGTGGTGAAGAGCGCACGGGCTTCAGAAAAGGACAGGACCAACTTCAAATCCCTGTACTTTAAATTTCTACTTCATGCCATGCAAAATTACTTTACTCCTCTTAACCTCAATCTCCTTCCGTGTGAAATGGGAACAATAAAGTTTCATTCTTTATTCAGTTTCTGTCAATATTTCATGAGATAATACATATAAAACATCCAGCTCATTTAAATGTATGGTTATTCCTGTCATAATCAGTAGTGGGATCAGTTTCACTATAATTGTCTACACAGTTCTGTGCCTGAAACCTACAAAACAAGAAAATGTTAACTCTAGAAAGTGTTAGTGATTTGTAATTTTTACATCATTAATTATAGCCCTAGTTAATCGCACAAGGCTTCGTACGTGGCAGGTGCTCAATAAACGCTGAATCAATGGATGTGTGCTCCAAAGCCACACTGTTTAGATTCTATTCTGCCTTTACCACTTATTAGCTGTGTGATCTGGGCAAGTTAATTCACCTCTTTATGTCTCTGTGTCCTTCTTTATAAACTATATATAATAAGAATCCCTAGCTTATTAGGTTGTGCAAGAAATTAATGATTTGGCACATAGTAGGAGCTTGTTAAATATTGTGATGATCTCCTTCCAAATCTTCATTTTCAGAGCCACACACGAGGCTACAGTGCCACCTGGTGATGCTAGAATGTAAGTGCACATGATCACCAACTACGTTCTCTCTCCACCCTAGGTCCAAGACTGGGTAGTTAAGGCCTGGAGGTTTCTTCTGCATCTGCCTTCTCATTCCCCACATACGGACTTTTCTATTTTCCTCCTCACATCCCCATAGATGGGGTCCAGGTTGCCTCACATAGCTGGGTGATCCACAGGGCAGTGACCACCTGTGCCAGCCCTGTGATGAAGCTGAAAGATCACTGTTCCTTCCTTGTCAGGCTCTGGGCAGATTCCAGGACTAGGGTGACAAATGCCCTCAAGTTTCTTGCTTTGGAGGGTCACGTTTTCCCTTGGCAAGGAGGGTAAAGGTCACAGGGAGCCACAGACCCATGACCTGCCTGTGCCATGGGCCTAAACTATAAAGACCTGAACACTCTATGCTAAAAGTCCAAGGCTTGGGTTCTCCAAAGCTTCTTGCCTCACAGCCTCCGCCAAGGGAAGATGAATGCTTTGTCCTCTCAGAGCTTTGGAAGCTTGTAACAAGCAGCCACCCCAGCGCAAAATCTCTTGGAAGCCTCCAACTTTGCCTTAAACATTCGTGCAAATTTTGCATCCTATTTCCCACTATGTCAGCATGTTTTAGAAGAAAAACCTCAATTTCCTAAATATGCAAGAGAAATTGTATTGTAGGACAACGAGACTTTAAAAAAAAAAATTGTATTATTTGGAAGGGTCCCAAGATGGCCAAATAAGAGGCAGCTCCAGAATGCAGGTCCCAGCAAGAGAGATGCAGAAGCTGAGTGGTCTCTACAATTCCAAAGAAGGTACCAGGTTCATTTTGTGGGTCTGGTTGGACAGTGGGTATAAACCAAATAGGGCAAGTTGAGGCAAGGTGGGGCACTGTCCCACCCAGGAGGTACATGCAACTAACTGGAGGACCACAGGATCTCCCCCTCTGGGACTTTGGTTCAGATACAGTGCTCCACCCGAGCCCTCTACAACCCACAGAACAGGAGATCTTCACCAGGCTGAAAAGCCTCTGAGAGCTGCCTGAACAGGACTGAGCAGCAACTTTGGCCAGTGCCAGGGCTATCAGGACAGATTTAGGCAGAAGCACTGGCTGACACCAAGAAATCCAGAAAGCCAGCAGGATGGAGCTACTCGCCCCTCCCAGAAAGAAGGGGAACTGAAAGCAGGGAAAACAGGCCATACAGCAGGGCGGGTCTCTCCCTCACAAAGACTAGCAGGCTAAAAAACCCTCACTTCAGAGTTTCGCAGCCAGAACATCAGTTAGAGGGCAACCAGGAATGATCAAGCTCGGCAGGGGGACAGGCAACTGCCATTGCAGAAGCCAGCCTAATTTTCCTGAGTAAATAAAAGACATAGGAAAAATACGCAGCAGCTCCACTGAATCCATGGTAGCCCAGCAGCGCCTCTGCAGGCAGGCAAAGGAAAGGCTGCCTCCCAAGCAGCTACCTGAGATCAAAGCTCCTGAATCCAACAAGATGAGAAGAAACCAGTGCAAAAAGGATGAAACCATCAAAAACCAGAACGCCTCTCCCCTACCATGAGATCACAACTCCTCACCAGCAATGGAACAAAGCAGGATGGAAAACAAATTTGAAGAATTCACAGAAGGAGGCTTCAGAAGGTGGGTAATAACAAACTTCTCTGAGCTAAAGGAACATGTTCTAATGCAATGCAAAGAAACTAAAAACCTTTAAAAAAAAAAAAAGGTTAGATTAAATGCTAACAAGAATAACCAGCTTAGAGAAGAACATAAACGACTTGATGGAGCTGAAAAACACAGCTCGAGAACTTCAGGAATCATACACAAGTTTCAATAGCCAAATCAATCAAGCAGGAGAAAGGAGATCAGAGATTGAAGATCAACTCAATGAAATAAAAAGAGAAGGCAAGTAAAGAGAAAAAAGAGTGACAAAAAATGAACAAAGCCTCCAAGAAATATGGGATTATGTGAAAAGACCTAATCTACGCTTGATCGGTGTACCTGAAGAGGACGGAGAGAATGAATCCAAGATGGAAAACACTCTTCGGGATATTATCCAGGAGAACTTCCCCAACCTAGCAAGGCAGGCCAACATTCCAATACAGGAAATACAGAGAACACCACAAAGATATCCCTCAAGAAGAGCAACCCCAAGGCAGGTAATCATCAGATTCACCAGGGTTGAAACAATGGAAAAAATGCAAAGGGCAGCCAGAGAGAAAAGTCGGGATACGCACAAAGAAAAGCACATCAGACTCACAGCAGCTCTCTTGGCAGAAACCCTACAAGCCAGAAGAAAGTGGGGGCCAATATTCAATATCCTTAAAGAAAAGAACTTTCAACCCAGAATCTCATATCCAGCCAAACTAAGCTTCATAAGCAAAGGAAAAATAAAATCCTTTACAGACAAGCAATTGCTGAGAGATTTCATCACTACAAGACCTGCCCTACAAGACCTCCTGAAGGAAGCACTAAACACAGAAAGGAACAATCAGTACCAGTCACTGCAAAAAAGAACCACATGGGAAAGTCCAATGACACAATGAAGAAATTATGCCAACCAAAGGGCAAAACAACCAACCAGTAACAAAATGGCAGGATCAAATTAACACATGAAAATATTAACCTTAAATGTAAATGGATGAAATGTCCCAATCAGAAGACACAGACTGGCAAATTGGATAAAAAGCCAAGAACCACAGGTGTGCTATATTCAGGAGACCCATCTCATGTGCAAAGACACACACAGACTCAAAATAAAGGGATGGAAGAAGATTTACCAAGTAAATGGAGAGCAAAACAAAGCAGGGGTGTCAATCCTAGTTTCTGATAAAATGGACTTTAAACCAACAAAGAACAAAAGAGACAAAGAAGGGCATTACATAGTGGTAAAAGGATAAATACAACAAGAAGGGCTAACCATCCTAAATATATATGCACCTAATACAGGAGCACCCACTATTATTGTGTGGAAGTCTACAAAGAGACTTAGACTCCTGCACAATAATAGTGGGAGACTTTAACATTTCACTATCAATATTAGGCAGATAAACAAGACAGAAAATCAACAAGGAAATCCAGGACTTGAATGCAGATCTGGACCAAGCGAACCTAATAGACATCTACAGAACTCTCCACCCAAAGTCCAAAGAACATACATTCTTCTCAGCAGCACATCGCACTTACTCTAAAATTGACCACATAATTGGAAGTAAATCACTCCTCAGCAAATGAAAAAGAACAGAAATCATAATGGTCTCTCAGACCACAGTGCAATCAAACTAGAACTCAGGATTAAGAAACTAATTCAAAACTGCACAATTCATGGAAACTGAACAACTGGCTCCCGAATGTCGACTGGATAAACAATTAAATGAAGGCAGAAATAAAGATGTTCTTCAAAACCAACGAGAACAAAGACACAATGTACCAGAATCTATGGGACACATTTAAAGCAGTGTCTAGAGAGAAATTCATAGCAATAAATGCCCACATGAGGAGCAAGGAAAGATCTAAAATCAACACCCTATCATCAAAATTCTAAGAGTTAGAGGTGCAAGATCAAAAAAACTCAAAAGCTAGCAGAAGACAAGAAATAACTAAGATGAGAGCAGAACTGAAGGAGATAGAGACACAAAAAACCTGCAAAAAATCAACAAATCCAGGAGGTGGTTTTTTGAAAAGATCAACAAAATAGACCACTAGCCAGACTAATAAAAACAAAAAGAGAGAAGAATCAAATAGATGATGCAATAAAAAACTATAAAGGGGACATCACCACCAATTCCACAGAAATACAAACTATCATCAGAGGTTACTACAAACAACTCTATGTACACAAACCAGTAAATCAGGAAGAAATAGATAAATTTCTGGACGCTTGCACCCTCCCAAGTCTAAACCAGGAAGAAGTTAAAACCCTGAATAGTCCAATAACAAGGGCTGAAGTTGAGGTGGCAATTAATAGCCTATCAACCAAAAAAAGTCCAGGTCCAGACAGGTTTACAGCTAAATTCTATCAGATGTACAAAGAGGAGCTGGTACCATTCCTTCTGAAACTATTCTAAATAATACAAAAAAAGGGAGTCCTCCCTAAGTCATTTTATGAGACCAAATCATTCTGATACCAAAACTGGGCAGAGACTCAACTGAAAAAGAAAACTTCAGGCCAATATCCATGATGAACATTGACGCAAAAATCTTCAATAAAATACTGGCAAACCAAATGCAACAACAAATCAAAAAGCTTATTCATCACAACCAAGTAGGCTTCATCCCATAGACGCAAGTCTATAAATGTAATCCGTCACATAAATGGAAACAATGACAAAAAACACAATTATCTCAATAAAAGCAGAGAAGGCCTTCAACAAAATTCAACAGCTTTTATACCAAAAACCCTCAATAAATTAGGTACTGATGAAACATATCACAAAATAATAAAAGCTATTTATGGCAAACTCACAGCCAATATCACTTAACAGGCAAAAACTGGAAGCATTCCCTTTGACATCTGGCACTAGACAAGGATGCCTTCTCTCACCATTCCTACTCAATATAGTATTGGAAGTTCTAGACAAAGCAATCAGGCAAGAAAAATAAATGAAGGATATTCAATTAGGAAAGGAGGAAGTTGAATTGTCTCTATTTGCAGATGACATGATTGCATATTTAGAAGACCCTATCATCTCCACCCAAAATCTCCTGAAACTGATAAGCAACTTCAGCAAAGTCTTAGGACACAAAATCAACGTGCAGAAATCACAAGCATTCCTATACACCAAAAACAGATTAACAGAGAGCCAAATCAAAAGCGAACTCCCATTTGCAATTGCTACAAAGAGAATAAAATACCGAGGAATACAACTAACAAAGAATGTAAAGGACCCCTTCAAGGAGAACTACAAACCACTGCTCAAGGAAATAAGAGAGGACACAAACAGATGGAAAAACATTCCATGCTCATGGTTGGAAAGAATCAATATTGTGAAAATGGCCACACTGCCTAAAGTAATTTACAGATTCAATGCTACCCCCATCAAGCTACCAATAACCTTCACAGAGCCGGAAAATCCACTTCACACTTCATATGGAACCAAAAGAGAGCCCACACAGCCACAACAATCCTAAGCAAAAAGAACAAAGCTGGAAGTGTCACACTGCTTTACTTCAAAATACATGACAAGGCCACAGTAATCAAAACAGCAGGGTACTGGTACCAAAACAGAGATATAGACAAATGGAACAAAACAGAGGCCTTGGAAGCAACACCACACATCTACAACCATCTGATTTGACAATCCTGACAAAAACAAGCAATGGGGAAAGAGTTCCCTGTTTAATAAACGGTGTTGGGAAAACTGACTAGCCATGTGCAGAAAGCAGAAGCTGGACCCC